GAGCCTATTTGAAGCATGTTTTACATTTGCAAATATCTTTCTTAAAAAGAAAGCCATGGACTTCTAAGAGGTATCATTATGTTGCGCTTGAGCTTCTCTATCTGTTCTTGACATCGGTTTATCTCTCTCATCATTATTTCTTGCGCAATCCAAAGAACACGATTAAATCGCGTATATACTGTCATTTTGCGCTATAAAAGAGCCTATTTGAAGCATGTTTTACATTTGCAAATATCCTTCTTAAATAGAAAGCCATGGACTTCTAAGAGGTATCATTATGTTGCGCTTGAGCTTCTCTATCTGTTCTTGACATCGGTTTATCTCTCTCATCATTATTTCTTGCGCAATCGAAAGAACACGATTAAATCGCGTATATACTGTCATTTTGCGCTATAAAAGAGCCTATTTGAAGCATGTTTTACATTTGCAAATATCTTTCTTAAAAAGAAAGCCATGGACTTCTAAGAGGTATCATTATGTTGCGCTTGAGCTTCTCTATCTGTTAGCGTCATCGGTTTATGGTTTTCATCTTTATTTATTGCGCAATGTTTAAAACGATGTGTAGAGCTCTAATACCAAGCATAAACTGTCAAATTGCTCAAATAGAACCATTTGAGGCGTATTTGTTAGTTGTTCATCACATTTGCAAATATCTTTCTTTTAAAAGAACGCTGTGCTCTTCTGAGTGGTATCATTATGATGCGCTTGAGCTCCTCTACCTGTTAGCGTCATCGGTTTATGGTTTTCATCTTTATTTATTGCGCAATGTTTAAAACGATGTGTAGAGCTCTTATACCAAGCATAAACCGATGTCGCGAACAGGTAGAGAAGCTTGAGCGCAACATAATGATACCACTTAGGAGACCATGGCCTTCTTTTTAAGAAAGATATTTGCAAATGTAAAAAAAGGCTTTAAATGACTCTTTTTTTGCGCAATATGACAGTATTTACGCCATTTAATCGTTTTAACATTGCGCAATAAATAAAGATGAAAGAGATAAACCGATGACGCTAACAGGTAGAGGAGCTCGAGCGCAACATAATGATAGCACTCAAGGAGACCACAGCAATCTTTTTAAGAAAGATATTTGCAAATGTAAACTAGATGGAATTTTGACTGCGCGCAGTCGAAAATGATGCCTCCGCCATAGAGCAATTTAAACAAGTTTGGAGTTTAAATCTCCAGTGGTTCTTGAGATATCATGATAACAATCTCAATGTATGGAATTTCATAAGTTGACCTCTGTGACCCTTGACCTTTGACCTACGTGCTCCAAAATCTAATCAGATTGTCTTCCTATGGTGATACACACTATCATTAAGTTTGAAGTTTAAATCTCCAGTGGTTCTTGAGATATTATGATATGGTGATACATACTATCATTAAGTTTGAAGTGAAAATTCTCCAGTGGTTCTTGAAATATCGCGATAACGATCTCAATGTATGGAATTTCATAAGTTGACCTCTGTGACCCTTGACCTTTGACCTACGTGCTCCAAAATCTAATCAGATTGTCTTCCTATGGTGATACACACTATTATTAAGTTTGAAGTTTAAATCTCCAGTGGTTCTTGAGATATCATGATAACAATCTCAATGTATGGAATTTCATAAGTTGACCTCTGTGACCCTTGACCTTTGACATACGTGCTCCAAAATCTAATCAGATCGTCTTCCTATGGTGATACATACTATCCTTAAATTTGAAGTTTTTACATCTCCAGTGGTTCTTGAGATATGATAACAATCACAATGTATGGAATTTCATAAGTTGACCTCTATGACCCTTGACCTTTGACCTACGTACTCCAAAATCTAATCAGATCGTCTTCCTATGGTGATAAATACTATTCCCGAGTCTTAAGTTTAAATCTTAAATGGTTCTTGAGATATTGTGATAACGGTCAAACGGGACGGACGTACGGACGGACAACCCGAAAACATGATGCCTCCGGCACCACCTTCGGTGGCGGAGGCATAAAAAGGCTTCAAATGACTCTTTTATCGTTTTCACTATTGCGCTAAATAAATAAAGATGAAAAACGAAAACCAATTGTCGCGAACAGGTAAAGGAGCTCGAGCGCAACATAATGTTACCACTTAGGAGACCACAGCGTCAGAAAGATATTTGCAAATGTAAAAAATGCTTCAAATGACTCTTTTATTGCGCAATATGACAGTATATACGCGATTTAATCGTTTTCAACATTGCGCAATAAAAAAAGATGAGTAGACTTTACAACATTTCTTATATTTGCAAGATGAAGCTGAAAGTCCCATGCAGGTAAATATTAAACGACCACCTATTAATTCACTAAAATGGAAATGGAACTAAGTTGATGTTGCAAGCGTATAGTGTGGAGGGTATATTTTATTCTGGTTCTGCACTTAGCAAACAAATATTGATATCTTTCCTTTCTTTGTTTACAAAGGGAATTTGTCCTTATTTACAGGAGGTCCTGTGTGAAGAAGAGCGATGTCTAATGCACATTCAAAGCACTACATGATCATACATGTAGGGTAAAACAGGAACCCTCATCAATTTTTTTTTTTGTTTTTTGTAAGTGGTCCTTTTACTTCTTGAGCAATGCAGATGAAGAAGAACACAAAATAAAATTAATGAACGTCTGTTTATAGGATGTATTATGGTTGATGTGTATCCATTATTACCACTTTTAAATTGAAGTACCTACATTGTCTTCTCTCATGTAGGATGATGCTTCTCTACAGCGGATGATGAAGGCATGCTGGTTTACAAACTCAGGAGAGGAACAAATAACAGATATTGACAGGATCATATCTAGAGATGCGAGCCTACTATATACTTCATACGAGCAAGTGTGCTAATATACATGCATGTACCCCAAATAAACTATTGTGGAACACATATCATGTAGAAAGTTATAGATCTGACAAATATATTTTTCATTGTCCAATGACTTGTAAAAGAATACTTGACTGAATTGAGATCAATTGTGATTTAGATTAAAAATAAAATGTCAATATACATGAAATATAAGTCTACATAACGTATGTTTCAATAGCATTATTTCCAGTTCATTCTCTGTTCCAAGTTGTTTGGTCATTTTATGTCCCATACTTAAAGAGAAGGTTGAGTTCTGGGAAGAGGTGAAAAATAATTTGTGAGCATTACTCATTCTTATTATGCAAGTGTGGGAGAACATCAGTTAAGACATGTTCCCTGAAAAGCATGGCTCTTCAAATGCCTTCATATTCTAAATATGCATGTAACATCGTAAAAATCGGGGGGGGGGGGTGGCTTTTTACGCCACGTGTTCCTGTAGTCCCATATACATCTTTCTGTGCAAGTGTATGTAACTTTACCAAGACTTGGCCAAATTTCTTATCATTTTGATGATTCCAGAACCTTGCAATACACACAAATTCTCATATGCTAGATGATCAACCTTTTCTGGTCGGTTCCACACCGTTTCTTTCACAATGCAATCGCATGACCAGAAACCAACTTCATCTTTAACCGAGTATTATTCAATTATGACCACGAGTTTACATTGCAAGTAAATTGTACATGTACCGGTATTACTTATTTCATACTTTTCTGATCGAAGCTCCATCAGGCCTATTGTCTTAATGGGATCATCAGAAATAATCTAACATGTGGTCAGTAACTAGTCTTGTAGGAAAAATAGTTTAGGTTTGCCCACTAGAATCCCAAGTGAATATTAGTTCTTCCTCTTTTTGTCAGAGCAGGTATCAGGGTGTATGTTATTAGTTGTCGTTTATTTTCTTATACACTTATCTTATTTTATTTTTTTCATTTGAACAGACTTGGGTTATCATCACAGCCCTTTCTTCTGAAAACTAGCCTACAACTTCATCGATGAATGCAGAAGACATCTACATGAGACTACGTCTTAAAGATGCCACCCTCATATAATGAAAGAGGACAGTAGAGATGGGTTTAAACTTGAATATTTACATACTATTTATTTGTATCATATGTTTGTAGAATACCACATTTAAAAAAAAAAGCTAATGAATTTATCATCTTGTCAACTTTCAAATAATTAAAGATAACTAATCATCAATGAATAAACATTAACATTTTAACAATGTCAACTACCATCTTATAGGATGAAACTGAGGGCTGGGCAGAAATAAATTTCCTTGAAATTTGAGTGATAAAGATCTATCAGTCTATATCAAAGATTGAATTAATTAATGATATTTTAATTATAATTATACATGTTGAAATTCATTTACCTCAGTCTATGGACTTCTGTATTCTCCCAGTTGATAATAGTAGATAGAGGAGCACTGATCAGAAAGGTCCTTTGGAATGACCCTGTATCAAAGAAAGATGATGTATATGTGGAGGCAAATTATTTTGCAGTTTTATGGAGTAAAGAATGAAATGAGTAAATGAATGAAATGAATGAGTAAATGTGAAATGAGTGGATGGTGAAAGAGGGAATTGTATCATTTTGAAAATTCCTTTGAGCAGAGCTTTGTTCCTCTCCCCCATTGTCTCTCTCTTTCCCCTTCCTTTCACATCATTTTTCTTGCTCCATACCCCACCCCTCCCCCCTCCCATATAGGTATTACCCATAGTAAGAGCGCTTCAAACAATGCATCTACCTCCTTATAGAGAGAATAGAGGAACGCGATGGTCTGGATAGTTTTCCCCAATCCCATCTCATCAGCCAGGATATAGCTTCCTGAGTGAGCTCCTAAAGGGATTACCCAACCAAGTACCAAGTAAGAATGGATTAAGGTGATTGTATGCCGATTAGGTATAAATTAGCAGCTGAGAGTCAGAGGGGCGTTAACTCTCATCATTTAACACAATTAATGACATTCTGGCTCCCAGTACATCAATTATTCTGAGGCTGAGCAGCAAGCATCATCAATTACCACATGCTAAAAATGTACATCTGTCGTTGGCTCCAGCTTCTGTATGGCTCTTTGTTCTCTCTCTTGGTTCTTGCCTTTCTTGTTCTTGCCTTTTCTCTTTTTCTTCTTCAATGGCTCGCCAAACATCAGGGCTCTGGAAGAAGGATGACAAAGACATTTTTTTTTTTTAATTCCAAGTCCAAACAAAATTAAAAAGAGCAACAATCATATTAAACTGAATGGTCTTGGTGGGTCTAAGACAATGTTATGACTGTAAAATAAGGAATAAGGGTTCTTATCAATAATAATAATAATCCGGTTTTTTATATAGCGCTCAATACACCGATCCAACGATGTACCTAAGCGCTTTACAGATATATTATTACCCCGGTCATCGGATTCAGGCTTACCCGCACACAATGTGTGCACATTTTCCACTCCCTGGGGAGCATTCCAGCCAGTCGCCATTTTACAGGCGCACACTTATCAAATGATATATTTTCAATATTCCCTGAAAATAGAGTATGGCACTGGTTTTTTTAACTTATACCAAATGTGTCCACAAATGGGTCCAAAATGAAATTATGTTTACTCACTTCAAACTTGTATTTTTAGGATCAGGACTAATCATATTTTTGAGAAATGCAAATTCTGGACCTTAATCTATCTCCTTATTTATTCACCAGATATGAATACTTTGAGTTTTTACAATTTTATTGTGAACTATAGCATAACTTTAACTGTGATATTAAACTCATTTGCTATTAACTACACCTTAAAATATGTTGGGTCTTTAAGAATATGTTTCAGAGATTATTCATGCAAATTTTTGAGCGGACACTTTTTTTTTTGGGGGGGGGGGGGGGGGGGGGGAGTCCAAAAAAAAAATCGCAACGACTCAGCCAGCCGAAAAGTCGCTAAATGGGGGGGTAAGCGGACACTTTTTTTTTTTTTTTGGTCCCAAAAAAATCGCAACGACTCAACCGAAAAAGAAAAAAAAAAAAATTACCCCCATGGCTGACCTAAGAAAAAAAAGTGTCCTCTCACCCCCCCCCCCCCGCTTATTCAGCGGTCGGTTGAGTCGTTGCGATTTTTTTGGGACCAAAAAAAAAAAAGGGGGGGGGGGGGTTTTAGGGATTTTTTAGGGGGGTTTAACCCCCCAAACATCCCCCCCTGCGTACGCGCCTGTAGGAGGCTGTTTCAAACGACAACATTTTTTAATGCTCTTGAATAAGTATTTATTTATTTATTTAATTGATGACCGATTGATGAATGGATGGATTGATTGGTTGGTCGGTTGATTGGTTGATAGATCTTAACTCTTGCTGTGCCGATATCACAGGTGACAAACAATATACAGTGTAGGTTAAACATGTACCGTATTTGCCGGCGATAAGGCAGCAGCGCCGCACCCTGTTACACCCACAAATGTAATAATGCCCACAAATGTAATAACGCCTACAAATGTAATAACACTTTACCCACAAATGTAACAACACCCACAAATGTAATAACACTTTACCCACAAATGTAATAATTTCACCCACAAATGTAATAACCACTTTACCCACAAATGTAATAATTTTGAATCACCCACAAATGTAATAATGACTTTACCCACAAATGTAATGAATTTGAAGTGATATTTTGAATCACCCACAAATGTAATAATGACTTTACCCACAAATGTAATAAATTTGAAGAGATATTTTGTCGAATTTGTTCAAAACAAAAACCCTGTAATAAAGCATGGGTATAACTACCACCTAGCTAACTACCCCGGACATCTACCCCCAGTCAACTACTCCCTCCCCGGACATCTACCCCCAGTCAACTACTCCCTCCCCGGACATCTACCCCCGGACATCTTACCCATTCCAACTACCCCTCCCCCTGGACAACTAACTCCCCTCCAACTACCCCCCCCCCCCGGACATCTACCCCCAAGCAAATTAAGGTAGTTGGGGTAGTTTTCAGGGTGGGGGTAGTTGGCTGGGGGTAGTTGGAAGGGGATAGTTGGATTGGGGGGGTAGATTTCCGGGGGTATTTGACGGGGGGGTTGATGTCTGGGGGTAGTTGCAGGAGCGTAGCCACGGGGGGGGGGGGGGGGGGGGGGGGGGTCACGTGCCCCCCTAAAATTTCCAGGATCGGTTGAAATTTTGTAGACCACTTTTTTTGACCTCGATCGATTTAATTTATGTTCCCCTTCCCCCCCCCCCCCCCCCCCCCCCCCCCAATATCAAACTCTGGCTACGTGCCTGGGTAGTTGCCCGGGGATAGATGTCCGGGGGTACTTGACTTGGGGTAGATGTCCGGGGGGTATTGTCCGGGGTAGATGTCCAGGGGTAGTTAGCTGGGGGGGGGGGGGGTTGTCTTTCTAGGGGGTAGTTAGCTGGGGGTAGTTGGCAGGGGGGTAGGTGTCCTAGATTCTCGATTAGAGATTAATTCTGACATTTCTTTCGGGGGAGTCCCCTCTCTCGTGGTTGTACCTCCATGGTAATGAGCAGTGTCAGAACACTAAAGTTACAACAAATCACAGCAATAAACAAAACTGTGACGGAGACGTTCTTAATATTGAGCACTTAAATCAGGCAGATATATCAATTACTTCATTGTAGTACAATATCCAGAAAGACCAGAAGATATTGTAGAAATCAAAAGCATAGAACAATAAAAGCAAGTGGCAAGGACTGCTTCTTCTGTTACGAAAGTGTGTACTGACCAAAATCAGGTAGGTTCATGTTATTTATATACAGTGATCTATGGGAGTTGAGTGTTTCAGAAGTAGGGAAAACTGTAATATAAATGTGTTTTGTTTGTATTTGCCTTTGAATAAATTTCGTTCTCATGAATTCACACCGTGTACCGCGTACCAATTGGTAGTCTTCAGTATAAGTAATTGATACGTTCATCACATGAAGAAAGGTAATTCATTCACGCACTCATGAAAATATAACATCGCAATCCAACTTTCCAATGTCACTAATAGCGTACATAATTATAAATATATGTTACATATCGTGAACATATTTCATAATCACATGCATAAAACAATCAGCGACAATATTTAAATACATTTAAGGTCACTTATTCAATTACTTTTTTTTCTACGAACATTGAATTCCAGGATATTTGTGGGCGTTAGAATATTTACATGATTAAGTAATCGTTGACGGTCAACGAACCATCGAATCGGTCCCTCCTCTGTGTGTTATATATATGGACCATTTTGACTGATTCGTCAGTTCGTGTGACCGCCGACCAATCATTTATTTGTGACATGTTTTATCCACATATGTAATAATGTAATTTATTTTTAAATGAAAAAAAAAAGAGGAATAAGATGGTGGGTCTTAGTTTCGAAGATTTGTTTAAATTTCTATTTCCTTTGAAATAACCGGGTCTATAGGAAAGACTACGCTCAATACCCATACACATATACACAACTAGGCGTTGTGGCGTGCGCCTGTAATCCAGCTAAAAGTGGAAGTTACAAACTGATTCAGCCGAGGACGCAGGTTCGAAACTGAGTCACGTCTTTCGGATGTTGACGTTTAAAGGTCGGTCCCAGACGTAAATAATCATATCTGATTGATACACGTCTGTAAAAACCCAATACACACACACACACAAGTTATTCCACAGGAATGAGATGGTGAGGTCTTAGTTTGAAGATTTTCTTTTCTTAATAACCGAGTCTGAAGTAAAGACTACTTTCTAATCCCATGCTTTATTACCGGGTCTTAATTTGGAAGATGGAGGGGTCTTAGTTTAAAAGGTTTTTTTTTTTTTTTTTTTTTTTTTTGTTTTTTTGTTTTGTTTTTTTTAACTTTTGAAAAACCGGGTCTGGAGGAAAGACTACGCTCAATACTTATGTTCTTCCACAGGAATAAGATGATGGGGTCTTAATTTTGAAGATTTTTAAAAAGTTTTGAAATAACCGGGTCTGGAAGAAAAACTACGCTCTAAACCCATGCTTTATTACCGGGTCTTAGTTTGGAAGATGGTGGGGTCTTAGTTTTGAAGATTTTTTAATTTTTTTGAAATAACCGGGTCTGGAGCAAAGACTGCGCGCTATACCCATGCTTTATTACAGGGTTTTAGTTTTAAATTCGACAAAAATATCCCTTCAAATTTATTACATTTGTGGGTAAAGTCATTTTTACATTTGTGGGTGATTCAAAATTATTACATTTGTGGGTAAAGTGGTTATACATTTGTGGGTGAAATTATTACATTTGTGGGTAAAGTGTTATTACATTTGTGGGTGATATTATTACATTTGTGGGTAAAGTGTTATTACATTTGTGGGTGTTATTACATTTGTGGGCATTATTACATTTGTGGGTGTAACACACCCCCAACTTTGACATTTCGTAGAGGAAAAAACAAAAACGGACAGCCCATTTATATTTCACACTAGTGTCGGGTTGCGGTTCTAACAGATAATTCCTAGTACTCTTAACATAGAGGCAGCCCAGCAGACATGTTGTAGGATTGATAACTACTGGCTAACTGACCAGGTTTTAATGTGTAAAAGCATTACAGCATTCTATGTAGCATTCCACATACATTCCATGCAAAGTAGAAAAAAATCAATAAATATTCATATAGTCCCATACAAGTATAAATCAACATCACAAAGTATTCCTGAATATTCAAACATAAACAAAGGGTATATATTGAATATTCATAGTATATATTATACTATATAAGCTCGACTGTATCAGGTGAACATTGAAACCAATGAGAGAGAGAGAGAGAGAGAGAGAGAGAGAGAGAGACAGATGAAAGGATGGTGGATGAAAAGGGTGAATGTGAATGAGGGATGACCTATTAATATGAAAGGGATGAATCATGGATATGAAGGGGATTTTCAGAAGTTCGAAATAAATCCCTACACAAGCTTATACATTTTTTATGTATGCATACATTTGAGGAAGATACTACTTGTATATGTTTAGGATCATTAAATAAGGTATTACTGGTAATGCCCTTTTCTTTTATACATATATGTACTTTCTACACAGATTAGTTACGTGTACTAAGTGCCCTTTTTAAAAGGTATTTTCAAATGAAAATCCATATTTCCCATGTTGTTTTAGAAAAACATTTTAATTTGCTTGATTTTATTAACTTTATATACCTGTATCA